TCAGGTCAAGTTAGGTCAAGGTCAATTATATGTGTTTGTATTTCTGTGTGTGTCTGTGTGTATACTGATGTGTGCACCGATTGTTTTTGGGTCCATATCACATGAAATCATGATCTGAGAAGCTTTTACCAAAAATGCAGTCAAAAAACTTCACAAAAAGTAAATTCAGCTTGCCTAAAACGCAATTATCTTAGATGACCTAGGTTGACCTTGACCCTGACCTTGACCCCTGTACATCGTCGAACAACATGTTCCATGATAGGTGGGAGGTAAGACTGGCAAAAAAAAGCCGAAATCAGGGTGTCAAAAGCTCACAAGGCCCATGGCAAACGCAAGATGTTGAGAATTGGCCATTTGGGTAATGACATGACCTGAAAAACAAGGTCATATCTCCGAAACCAAAAATCACAGAAACTTGAAATTTTTAGTGGACATCAAGAAAGGATAGACGAGCAGCTATACGAAAAATCAACCTTCTAGCTTTAAAAATGTTGAGTGCAGAGCAGAAAGACTGCCTGGGGGGTGGCAACCACCCCCCCCCCCCCATGTGCGGGCGAGGGTTAAGCTTCCCACACATTTTATTTGTTCAATTTTTGGCAAGGTTAATGCAGTGATTGCTGCTCAGGAATGATTAAATCGAGCCATTTCTTAAAGGTAATGAATAGTCTGTCTCTTATGATTTTAGGAGGGGCTTAACCCGCGCACCGACGGGGGTCTGCGCCAACTTCGTGCCGACGGGGGGGGCGGATGACCGCCCCCCCCCCCTGAGATCTCGAGAACGAAGCAAGATAGCGACAAGCGGTAAACGGCAAGGGATACGCACGGACAAGGTCTACAATTTTTACAAAGGTCATTTTCAGGTCAGGTCAAAGATGACGTCACAGGGGTCAAAAAAGTCAAAATGGCGGCGCTAGGTATGGAGAGTTTTTCTCGAATAACTTTCGAACTAGTCAATATAGGAACAAACTAAGGCAGCATCGTGATCCTCTCGTCAATCCGCATCGAATGATATATATGTTGACCTCGAAAGGTCAAGGTCAAAGGTTGACCTCAGGTCACGTAACCTCGAGGTCATCATGTATATCATTCGATGCGCCTTGACGAGCTGAACACAATGAGACCATCAGCGCGGCTGTATCTTGTTCCTGTGCGGAGTTATTGTCAAAAAACCGCTGGTGACCTTTGATGACGTCACGTGACCTTACAGCTGCCCAACAGCAAAACAGACCTCAAGGTAGTGAAGGTTAATCGTATATGAGGTCATGTATGGTTTATGGGGCCATTCCGACCCGTTCTAGTGGTAAAAACAGGGAGTTGATTTTTCCCCCATTGACTTACCTATAATGGGGAGGTCGAGAAATTGACCTGACCTTAAGTCATCGATATCAAAATTCCGAGATATACAAATTGTAGCTGCTAATGACCTTATAACATCCTGCGACTTTCAAAGGCCTCCGACATCTACTGTAGCTCTGGCACGGTGACAAAGTTGCAAAAAAGTGACTTGAGGTTGGGTCATTCAAAGTGACCTGGTGACCTGACCTTAAAAGTTAGGAGGTTCAATCTTGCACACCATGTGTAAAATTGATGAGAGAATAGTCGTATCAAATTTCGCGGCGCTACGCGCCGCGGTTTTCCCGCTATTCGCGAAAAATCTCATGGGGGGCGGATATCCGCCCCCCCGTCGGTGCGCGGGTTAAGAGCAAAGTGACCACTATTCACCGATTCACTTAACAGTCACTTATTACTACGTACTTGTCCTCAGTAGTGAAATGTTGCCCTAACCCATTAATGAACACATTCATAATGAACAGAACTGTACTGTCAGGCGTCAGCCATCTCACTGTTACAGTGCCCGTCTGTCTGCAGTCTCTCCTCAGCTGAGGATCCCGAGTAAAACACTCTTCGGTCTGTTCTTTTCTGGCGTTTTCTGCTGTCGGCGTCGAAGGCGGCGGCGGTGGCGATGATGTTAGAGCGTCTGTTTAGAAACTTTTCGAAACATCCGGCCCGCCTGTCGATTTTTCACGCGGTTTGCCAATCATTCTCTCCGAAAGCTGGTTTATACCTACCGGTGTTTATATTCGGAATGCATTGTGAATAGCTGTGACCAGCCGATAAGGGGACTTTGAGAAGGATTATAATCATTGTTTTCTATGCATTGCCGATGACAGATACGGACCGCGGCTTCTACTCACAAGAAACACTTTTACCATGCATGTTTGTTTGTTTGTTTTGTTGGGTTAGACCCCTTCGGTCCAATGGGACCATTTCAGAGCCGGGAGGATGATAGGATATAGGGGGAGACATTGGACTGGGCAGGCACCCTAGTGAGTCACCGGGGCTGAGCCCGTCCAGAGGACAGGCCACCCAGCCCCAAGGTACTCACTGCACCCGGCTACGGGGTGCGCTCCCTCGGGAGCAGCGGTGCCGCTACAAGGGAGCAGCCCGCATGAGATAAAGATACCTGTCCAGCCCGGAAGGGGGTTGCGGTGTGGAGAAGGATTTCAGTATCCTGAGGATAGAAGCACGGAACGGTGTGACCATGCATGCCCGTATCTCGTACGGCTATCATCTCATGCACTCATCTCCTTTCGTCTTTTGCCGTCCTTCCCCTGAGCTTCTCTTCCATCCCTGAAACAACCTATCCTCATCAGGCCAATGCCTTTCCATCCCCACCCTTATCCCGACCCCACCCCCAGGCCTACCCCAGGGGCCGGTTCTTTTGCTATGGGCGACTATTTTTGCCCTCAGGCAATCAACGTTTTTGGCCGTGGTTTTGCGCGTCTCTCGACCATTCGTCTGGCTAGCCACTGTTTCTTGTGTGGGCTTTTTGTCCGGTCACTGAGGGGAAGAACAATGCCCGCAGTCATCATGGGAGAGGCATGGAATAATGCCAATATTGAGGCTATTCGGTATTTGTCGTTAGAAAAAATGAGAGCTTGGAGTGTTGTGAGTGTAAGGCACTTCTCCGACCTTCATTAGTGGCTAGTGGCACCGTGAGCTTGTGAGCTCTAGAAGCTTTGAGAAGCTAATACAGCATTCGCAGTAACGTGGGGCAACCACGAGCGTCATTAGTCGAGAATAAGCAGCAGGCCTTAGTAGCAGACTCTATCCCTTGCTGATAGTGTCGAGACTCTCACACAATCCCGACTGACGTGATGTCAGTGATGCCATCATGATATGATCCCCAACAACAGAACGCCCAGCGGTGATCTTCAGTAGAGGCCCAAGCGATGTTCTGACGCCGATACAGAGATCAGACCACTAAGTCGACCACATAACGCTCTGAGTCTTGTGGAAATTTATACAGTTGCGGTCACCAGTGTTCTTGGATGATTTTTGACCACTATCTCACTTTTTAATTTCCGACCGTAATACGTGACTAAATTCCTGACAATGCGAGTTATTATAGCTATTGTGTAGTGTAGCGAACAATGCAATGCATCTATAGTAATGCCAGTTTATGTTCATTGATTAGCTATCTAACTCTACAAAAGGAAGGATTTGCGAATTGCAATGGGCTAATACTGCCACTTATGGAATTGAGTCAGCGCGTTACAAGGTAGCGAATCAAACCCTCATAAATAAAAAGCTTTGCATATTTATGCAAATAGCATTTGTCAGAATTGCCATGGACTACGCATGAACAGGATCATCAAAGGCTAAACGTTTTCTCTAGTTTTCCCTAATCTGTAAACGTACAGGGTGCACTTCCGTCGGCGTTGGTTTTACTTCCAGTAGCAGCGTGATTGCGTAGTTGAAACTGTGTTACTACGTAACTGCCACTGTGTTACTGCGTAACTGACACTGTGTTACTGCGTAACTGACACTGTGTTACTGCGTAACTGACACTGTGTTACTGCGTAACTGACACTGTATTACCGGGAGTGTCATTATCTGTGCTGCTGAAACTGTATGTGACGCGTGCTACTGCCAGAGCTTGTGTTACGGTGTTACATCTGTGTTGTAGTGAGTGTCATTGTCAATCTTTCTGCTACTGAGTCTATGTTGCTATGTAAAATGTTTTACTGTATCTGTCTGACGAGATAGACGGAATACACGAATAGAACGGAAGATGTTGTCATTTGTGTTTACGCCAGTGTCTCTCCCACCGTGCTACCGTGCTACAGTTGCTTCACCGTGCTACCGTTCCGGCGTGCCAGTGTCTCTGTTGCTCCCCGTGACACTACCCCTACCTGTGTTACCTCCCGTGACACTATACCACTACCTGTGTTACCTCCCTTGACACTATCACTACCTGTGTTGCCTCCCGTGGTAACTACTGTGTCATTGCCTAACCATGCGTCATTGCCGCCACCTGTGCTACCCCCTGCGTTGACCACCATTCTTACCACCATCCTAACAACAGTATCACCTCGCACCATCTCGCCACATTCGTCTCTGCCGCGCCACGACAGCTCACATCTGTCTGCGGCGTGTTGTGGCGCTCCTGCGGCATGTTATGGCGCGCAGGAAGCTGCGTCAGATCTGATACGGCGCAGCGGCTGCCACTGTGACGCACCTTGACTTACTTGGCGCACGATGCTATACCCAACTCACGTACCGTGCACGTGCGGGATTGACACGCGTTGGGAATTTTTTCGTCTTCTTTTTGGGCCTCGTATTGCTGCAGAGTGATATGTAATTTGGAAGAATGTAGGTTGTATGATGTGTGGAGGAATTTACGGTCTACTTTCCCTTTAAATGGGCTTTTATTGCGGCGGATGACTACAAAGGTATTTGGAAGGTCAAATATGTCGACGATAGTTACAGCCCAAGTGTGGTTTAAATTGTGCAGCATTTCTGGAAAAAAAAACATTTCACAAGCATTAGGTAGGGAGTGTTTTCGGAGACCCTGAGATCTAGCAGGACATAGTTTGTATACAAAATCAGTGACAAAAACGTAGCATGGAAGGAGCCCCATGTATCAATATATAAGCCGCCGCCTACAGGTCTACACCAGGGTTGTAACAATGGTCCATCTCTGTCCGTTCCCAGGTCGGAGAGGTCGGCGGGGGAGACCAGGCAGACCAGGACCTCCCGGGCCGCCCGGACCACCGGTAAGTACCGAATGGTCCTAGAGACCATTGGTCCTCGGGGGATCCCCATTAGTGATGTCAATCACAGGTAATTTGGAAACCGATACCATACCAAATTCCAACTGAGCCCGTGGAAAAAAAAGCGAACCAACTCGCGAATTTAGGGAAAATGCCAACTTGTTACGATTTTTTATGTTGAATACATTACCAAGGCTTTACAATACCAACAAAATACCAAAATCGTCAGGTTTGAAATACCAATTACCAAGTTGGTATCGGCTTGGTATCGGTGTACCAAATAGTTGGTATACGATTGACATCTCTAATCCCCATAGGTGTTGTAGTTAATAGACCTTTGTTTCACCGTAAACCGAGGTGTCGCAGTTACAAGTAGCGCTTCTAATGCCGTGTTCGCTTCTGACTAACGCCTACATCGCAGGTTTCGTCATGAGGTGCTCTGTTGGTCAGAAATCCAGCTTGTTATGCTTATGTATGGTGTCGTATGCTCACGTTAGGGCCTATTTATGAGTTATTGAGTTTTCTAGATGCTTAGCTCTTGGGCTTTGTAAACCTCAAGTGTGCATGATATGCCTCCTTCGCTTATGCCGCCGCGCTGTTAGTTATATTGTGTCGGGCTGTCGCTTTCTTTTGGCCAACAGGCGTAGGTTTTCTGAAATTTTTTCACTGTCCCGCTACATCATTCATCGCTGAAACGCCACCATGATCCCTTCTTCCCCCTCTTTTGCTCCATTTAGTCTTCAGGATCGAATGTTTTTACCTTCGTCTCGTCTTCTGTGAATAGCGAGCACAGCACAAAATGTCAGAGAACACAATTCCCACGCGGCTAAAGTTAGTCACATTCCAAGCTTGCTAAGGCACCAATTGCTAGCAGTCTAAGAAAATGTCAATGGGTTGATCAGAAGCTGTACAGCTATGTCGGCTCGCTTAACTTTGTCCCATAAATCTTCCAAACAAGTCGTTTTCTGATCGTAAGTTGGAGATGTAAGCTTGTGTAGCAGGCCTCGCTCAGGTTATGGGTCAAATATCCGTGCTCGCCCATTTTACTCAGGGCTGAGGGTTGCTCCCAAAGTATGTTGTGTTCAAGCAGTAGTGAAGTGACCCACATTTTAGAGGTGGAATAAGCCCTGAAATGTCCTCAAACCAATCTTCGAGAGCCTGCTTTACTTGCAAGGAGGTCACACTCCTGTCACAGAGGCCCACACTGGCCTCTGAGGTTCCCATGCAACGGTCTATTGCCGGTCGCTGAAGGTTCAGGAGGACACTTGGTTCACGGGGACCTTGGGACGAAACTCAACTCAACTTTTAGTAAATATTTAAATAATATTTTTAGTATTTTGCAGCCCTGGATCAAACAATTTGATCTAAGTCAATGAATTACGACGTCATACGAATGAAATCGATGACAGCCATGGTTTATGATTTGATGACTCCCTAAGGAACCACACTTTTCCCGCTATACTCGTACAGCCCTCAGCAGACTGTGTGGTAGGTATTCTTTTTTCGACAAAACCGATAATAACTCAAAGGCTATGCTATCAGTGTGTCGAAACTCTTCGCAAATAAATGCGTCATGCTCCACTCTTTCGATTGGGTCTATCACTAAACAAAACTTACGCGTAGGGAGGCAGCAAAATGCAAAAGTTTGTTTTCGGGGCAAATATAAACTTTTGGGTTTTGTTGCCAAATTGGATGGAAAATGAAAAAGATAATAGGCCCAATCTAAGGTGCGGAGTCTCGCGCGTCTTGCTGTTACGAGTTCCGAAAGACTGATATTCGTATTCATAGTATTCGCGTTATTCTCGGTTTTGTCAAAAAAAGAAAAAGAAAAAAGAATACCTACCACGCAATTTGCAGAGGACTGTACCTAGCGTCGTGCCTAATTGTTGCGCTTTGGGGTGTTGGGCTTCGCTTTATCGCCGCTTGCTCTAATGTCTGCATGCTTGTGTGCTTCTCCGCTGCTTTATTTTAGTGGCTTTATATGTTTTCAGGGACCTGAAGGACCCAAAGGACAAAATGGATTCCCTGTGAGTATTTGTAGTGCGAATTAATGCGCATGATTGTTTTAGCTATATCATGATCGAAGTACTTAGGTATTGTTTGCACTTTTTCGACAATAGCATTTTAGAGATGTAAAACAATGACAATTTATGCTTCTTAAAAGAATAGGCACCACGTGAGCTCAAAATCTTATGAGTTGCACCGATATTAGGGTAAGTCATAGCGAAGTCATTTTCTGATACGATATATGCGACTTTCCAGGGCAGAAAAGGCGCCTCTGGAGTTCCAGGATTTCCGGTTTGTAAAAAAAAAAAAAAAAAAAAAATACAACTTTTTCCGGTGGCGGGCTAACAATTTCTGTTTCCACTAAATTTCTGTTTTCTCTCACTTGGAGCTAGATTGCCTGACTCTTTGGTGTGACCTAAAAACTGCCGGTGGTGGGCGGTCTAGCAAGTGAAAAGAATCAATCACATACCCGTAAAATATTCAGGATTACATGATTTGATAATGTTCCTGGACGCACTACACTAGCTACATTAGCATTAGTATTGAAGCCAGTTTGATTTCAGCACGCAAAATTATCAGACTGTCTTCATAAGCATGCTCCTTTGCACACTCTCTAATACGAATATAGTTAACAGCATAATTTAGTGGCAAAACAATACAAGGCATAAACAAATGTAGCCGACAGAATGAATAATCACAGCAAAGAAGTGCAGGATTAAAGTTGTTTTGGAATGGCTGTGTTTCGTTGGCTTCGTGTACGGGGTGTTTATTGTTGGCACAAGTCTATCTCACAACAAGAAGGATGCAGCCATGCCGTTTACATACCGGGGGCCTCTGTTTTTCTGGGCGGTGAGTTGAGGTTTCGAGGGACCCATGCTACTAACGTGCTCTTACCAAACGCTTACTGGTGATGGGTTTATTTTTATTACCTTTGTTTTACCGGCGCTTTGCAGTGACTTCAGGTGGCTGCTTATTTATTGTGGTTTAGTTTTCCAGTTTCCTTCCCTACGTTTTGACTATCAGTCCAGTTTAGAATTGTCCCTTCAATTGTTTTTTTTTTTTGCTTATCGGACTACAGTGCAATAAATGATCAAACCCGTCTTTGTATGTAATGTCTTGCTTAACCGATAAGTTCCAATATTTTTTTTTGTGACAACCCCCCCCCCCCAAAAACCATTGGATGCAGTAACACCAAGTGCCTCGACGCATTGAAACCTTGCTACCCCCCCCCCCCCCCACCATGTTTCTCGCTGTCTCGCATACCGCATAACATAAAAATCCATTGTGTTTAACCTACACTCGCTGTGTTCCAGGGACCGATTGGACTGGATGGCCCAAAAGGAGAGCCGGTAAGCTACTGCCACCTGGCGGCAAGCTTAGAAACTAGTAGTTCGATTGATGCCTGCTAGGTGGTAACAGTGCAACTAACACGGTGTAAGGGTATTGTCAGCTTTGCCTAACGCTTCGGTGTAGAATTACTTTACTCTTGACTCATGATTAAGTTTCAAATAAGCTTATCAAAGATCCAAAATAAAATAATTACTTTTATCAAAAATATGTATGTATTTTTATGAACAAACAATTTTTATAAAATAAAATGCAGTGAAGTGTTTCGTTGGTGCAGTTAAGTGTTTCGTTTCGTAGGTATTAATTTAATTTTATGAGCTTTCATGGGAATTTTGAAACCCTTTCTCATACCCGTTTCTTGCAAAATTATATCTTTTTCATGCTTGTCAGTGACAGACCGATGTAAGGTAGAGTACAGCTGTTTTAAACCCGCGCCCCGTAGGGCTACCGGCGGACCCTACCACCCGTAGGGGGGGGGGGGGCGTTTCGGCCCCCCCCCCTAAGATCTCGGAAAGTTACCGGCCGATTTTCAAAATTCAAACGGCGTTCGATAGCCCCACCCGGGAACTACCTTGTGACCAAATTTCATTGACGTAGGTCAAACCGATGACGTCACAGGTCAGGTCAAAGGTCAGATTTTCACCGTTCACAGGCAATTCAAGAAATGTGCTGTGAAAGCGAGTAAATTGGTAATTTATTGAAAACCATCGATGGTACATTGTTCGTCAAACACATACCTTGCTATCTGAGGTCACTGATACCAGGTCAGGTCACAGCGAGGTCAGGTCACCGGGGGTCACAATATGAATGTGTCGTGTGATACATGTTTTATGGTCCATTTTACATGACAAATGCGATTATGTGGGTTAGGCAGCCTTTGGGCCCAGCCTAGGTCACGTTTTTGTGAAGGTCAGGTCAAGGTCAGGTCAAATTAGGTCAAATTTCAAAGTTGATATTTTTGCATAAAATGGGTATCGATTCGATGCAGCTCGTCACGGGGAGTCTAATGGTGGTCTTCGTTTTGCTCTACGAGTTCTAGAATTGTCAAAAATTGAGTTTGAAAGTTTGACGTCATCATTTTTGAACAGTTTTTTTCGCTATAACTTGGCCAAAAAACGAGGTATCGATCTGAAATTTGGTATGTAGATAGAAGACGGTAGGTACTATCACATATATTCCGGTTTTTTCGAAATTCAAAAAACTTTTTGGATTTTTTGGCGAATATATCAAAAAAATGTTTTTTTGATTTTTGGGGGTCAAAACTCAAAAATTTCAAAAATTCGAGATAGCAGTTTTGTAGCCCTGTCAATTCTACACCTTTTATGTCTGATCATTTTTCTGTATCTTCAAAGCTGTAGTCCTGACAGGTCTTCTCGCGAAGGTCTTTTTTCGGTCGAAAATGACAGAACATGACGTCACTCTGACGTCATTTGTGGCCAACCTATCATAGCCTCTGGAAAAATTTTTGGTCACAATGTGTAAAATTGATGCCCGGAGGGGTCCTGAAAGTTTGGTGGCGATATCTTCAGCCGTTTAGGAGATATCGACCGAAAAGGACAGGGGGGGGGGGCGTTTCGGCCCCCCCCCTACGGGGCGCGGGTTAATGTCAGAACGTTTTATGAGTTGATTTTCCGTTCTTACGTCAATGGCAACCACACAAAAACTATGCATTGTAAAGCGTTTTGGATAAGGACATCAAACCCTGTTCCTAAACAGCAATCAACTATGAAACATTAAATCATCAAAAAGAACAACACACATGTTGTATTGCTATAGTTTGTGTATCTACCCTAATAGATTTAAATTGCGCGAAAAAAGGTGGAAAGACAGAGATGAATGACATAGGTCAAATGACAGGTCAAATATCAAAGTTAAAATAGATATTTGAGTATCGACGACAATGATGAAACTGATACCGAAGGCTATGATATGCTATGATATCTATAAATATACTACATCAATCTACTACGATATACGATCTTTATAAATATACCACTTGCCCTCGTGCCTCGCCGCCCTCGCACCTCTAACTAACGCTTGTGTCCGTGTTTGTGTGTGTGTGTCTGCCTGTATGTCAGGGCGAGCCAGGGAAGGCTGGACCACCGGGGCCTGCCGGAAGTCCTGGATATGATGTCTTCTCAACTGCCAAGGTATGAAACACATGACCGAAGGGAGGTGTGGAGGGGAGGAGAGAGAGAGAGAGAGAGAGAGAGAGAGAGAGAGAGAGAGAGAGAGAGAGAGAGAGAGAGAGATCGGTGAAAAGCAGAGAGAGGGAGGGAGGCAGAGGGGAGAGATTCGGAATGTGAATATGAGTGAGCTAGAGAGATGGCGTAGGAAAGAGGTAGTTAGTGAGATAAAGGGAGGGAGAGGGACGTGAGGATAGGAATTCAGTGAGTGAGTGAGTGAGTGAGTGAGTGAGTGAGTGAGTGAGTGAGTGAGTGAGTGAGTGAGTGAGTGAGTGAGTGAGTTAGTGGGTGGGTAAGAGTAGAGAGATAGGAGAGAGGAGGGAGAGAGGGACAGAGATAAAGAGAGGAGGGAGAGGGAGAGAGATAAAGAGGGAGAGAGAAAGAGAGAGAGAGAGAGAGAGAGAGAGAGAGAGAGAGAGAGAGAGAGAGAGAGAGAGAGAGAAATAGAGAGAGAGAGGGAGGGAGTGGGATTGAGAGAGAGAGAGAGAGAGAGAGAGAGAGAGAGAGAGAGAGAGAGAGAGAGAGAGAGAGAGAGAGAGAGAGAGGGAGAGACTAGAGAGAGAGAGAGAGTTTATGAAAAGCACAGGGAGGGAGTGAGGCAGAGAGGAGAGATTGAATGTGAATATGAGTGAGCTACTGAGGAGCGCAGAAAAGAGGTAGATAGTGAGAGAAAGGGAGAAAGAGAGAGGGACGTGGGGATCGGAGTTAAGTGAGTGAGTGAGTGAGTGAGTGAGTGAGTGAGTGGGTGGGTAAGAGGAGAGAGATAGGAGAGAGAGGAAAGAGAGAGGGAGAGAGAGAGAAAGAGGGAGAGAGAGAAAGAGGGAGAGAGAGAGAGAGAGAGAGAGAGAGAGAAAGAGGGAGAGAGAGAAAGAGGGAGAGAGAGAGAGAGAGAGAGAGAGAGAGAGAGAGAGAGAGAGAGAGAGAGCGAGAAAGAGGGAGAGAGAGTGAGAGAGAGTGAAGTGAGTGAGTGAGTGGGTGAGTGAGTGAGAGAGCGAATAAGTGAGTGAGTGAGCGAGTGAGTGAGTGAGAAATAGAGAAAGAGTGATGCACGCATCTAACGATGATAACTAGTAAACAACTGTTTATTCGAGAAAAAATGTATCGTTGCCACGCGACTGATTCAACCAGTATTTCATCATGCACGATAATTACCTTTGGAATTAGCGTACCTGGGCCCAATCTTACCAATGCCGTGAATAAGATTTGGCAGCACCGGCCGGTGTTTACGGCACTATTATCAAAGATATCTTTTTTTCATTTACATCACGCTAATCTTGTCCAATGACTTTGATAGCGTCAATGATTATGAATGTTGCCTGAACGAATGACTAAGTGAATGTGGAATAGTTCTGAATGTTAACAAATGCCGTGAATGAGCATTCACGACATTTGGTAAGATTGGGCCCTGATGTTTGTATAGCGTAAAATAGCGTATACCCTGTGTCTGTATATAGAGGTGGAGTCTGACCATTTTTCACAGGGCGTCAAACGATCCGTGACTAATATCCGCGGCGGAACGCTAGGTTACGCCGAAATCGTGGCGATAAAGGTGAGATTTGTGTAACTCTGACCTCTGTGACGTCATATATGTGGGCTGTATGTGACGTCATTCTTCTTCTGTGACGTCACCTTGTATGTGTTTCTGCACGTGACGTCACACTGTCGCAGGCTTTTACTTGGAGTTGGCTGCGTGTGTCTCTGTGTTACAGAAGCTTCTTGGTGGTTTTGCTGCCTCGTCGTTTTTTGGACGTTTTTTTTCGGTAGAAGTTGGTGTTTTGGGCTTTCTTGTTGCCACTGTTTTTCCTTTGAAGGGTTGAGCAGCGTATTTTCGGCTGGGCTGCTGAGGCTGGCTGTTTTCTCTGTTGCTGGCACGTTTTCCTTCCCTAACTTCAAGGCTTATTTTCGTTCTTGTTTTCAATTTCGATTATTTTCCTTTCAATCCAACCACGCCTGGCGTTCGGGGATTTGCTGAATTTTCTCATGCAGATGGGATGGCGGATAAAAATATACAGAGATCATTTTCACTGAACGCATTAAAGTTTCATGTCAATTTTCATCTCAGTTATGGAAAAAGTTTGCTATAAAAAATTATTCTAGTGGATAACACGCTCGTGAAAGGTCGAAAAAACAATATTCCTCATTGATATGTTGCGATGCTACCTACAACCACATACATACAAAGGGAAGCTAGAAAAGGAAACTTCTCGAAAATAAAAAGAAAAGTCTTGGGCACTTTTTTGGCAATTTGGGCTCATTTTGATCCATTTTGTCAAATCACACTGTACATAATTTCCATGACATTCTCTGTTTCTTTGTGAGGCGTCGTTGTTTTGTAAACCTTCGTTAGTGAAAAGTGTGTTCGTTTTTAGCCACCCTCATGCTTATCGCCGTCCGTCCTCAAAATGATGTTGGCAATGCTATTTGTTTTTTGTTGCAGGGTCTTGCTAAACTTGGCTTTAACTTAGACCCAGATAATATCCTCATGTTAAAAGTGAGTTTACTTTTGTATCATAGTTCATATGCGGGGTTCACTACCAAAGCATGGATTAGATGCACGCATGAAGAGGTATTTAGAGGAAATGTTTTAACTTACTAGTGGCTAGACTTTTTGCTGTATATACCTTGATTATGTGATGCCAGAAAGGTCATAGTAAGTTTTGTACGCAACTTATCAGAAAAATTGTTTTTCCGCGATTTTTTATTGTAAAAAAATGCGTTCTGCATTTCTTGCTCGACCCTTTTGTACGATATTTGCTTTTTAGAGATGTCATTATTCATTTGAAAACACGTTGAAACATGATGGATGCAAAACTAGTCTCTATCTCCATTTTACATGGTTAGCGTATATTCCCAACTTCAAAGACCGCACCACCTTACCAAAATATTAGGCCCACAGCTTACATTATTGACATGTAGATGTCTCGACTAGTGATATTCTTTTGGATATCTACATTTTGCTTCTTTACTCCTCTATCGTTTATTAAAATTCGTTATCGCATTTTTTCGCTGTTAGCGCTTCTCACAATATGCCCTTGGTACCTTTTCTAGTCGATATCCTTTTTGCAAAATTTCATCCTCCCTTGTACACATCGGATGAAAATTGCATGTGTTATGCTTATTGTGTTGCAATTCTCATATTATAAATCCTTAGTTATTGCACGTTTTCTCTTTATGGCTAAAATAAACCAGAATGATGCTCGTTAAGCATATTCCAACATCCTTGTTTCTTTTGCATGCTTTCTAGCATAGTTTGTCGATGCACTTTTGCAAGTTCGTGGTTAATTAAGTAACGTAGCATTATAATCAATGCTACGTGTATGATCTTTGCGTTTCAATATCGAGTTCAATCGAAAACAATTGCATATCAATTATCAAGTGCAATATTTTTGGTCACATTTGTATGTCAAAATGCTGTCTTACATTTTTTGTGAAAACGTTTAAGTTGTCAGGGTTATTGCTATTACTGTATGCCTGGCCTATTTAAATACATTAGCCAGAGGGGTGTGGTAATATATAATATCACACGGGGCCGGTAAAATGTTTCATTCAGGACCGAGGGATTTGTTGAGTTTTCCGCACGAGACCGAAGGTCGAGGGCGGAAAATTCAACAAAGCCCGAGGTCCTGAATGAAACATTCCGGCCCAAGTGTGATATTTATTTTAGCATATGCCGTTTAATTTCCATATTTAAGCTTCTTTAACAATTTTACATGCTTGAAAGTGGAAAAACCAAGACCGAATATCAAGAACTAAAAAATGTACATATTCCCTGACCAAGAAAATAAACCAAGCCGACTCAAGATCACTGTGGTGTGTTCCATCCTTGTGTCTGGCTCTGAGTTGGATTTATATCAAACCAAGAACATCTACTTCAATCTATGTCATATGAGAAGCCAGAGTAACGTTCGTTTTCAATATAAGAGAAGAGTGGAAGGTATACCATCCTGCGAAGTGACCGCTTGGTTTTTTACCCATGTCAGTATGAATAAAGTTTTTACTGATCAATGTGAAATGCGTCTTTTGTCAATTCATTGCAGTTGTAAAAGGCATGAAATTGACGCCACAAATGTAGGTGATTAATTAATATGTCTGTACCTACATTAGGATTTAAAATATTATCTTATTGAAAACCAACATTTACAATCTGTTCAATAGTTCAAAGCGACCAAATGCAACACGTAAGTTCACGTTAGATTTCTATCAGTTAAGCTCTTTTCCAGCGCCTTCCTCCGTCTCAGGAAATGCTTCAAAAGTTCGCTGATAAAATGTTTTGCCCATGGGCCGAAACCTTTGTCCAATTGCCTTCAACATTATGCGGTTTAATCCAAAAAGCTTTTACCGCACGCTCGCGCTAATGCTAAGGGCATACTTCGGCATATGCTAATAACTGGTGTAAGCAAATTGACCACGGTCAAAAATGCATTACCAGAATGCACTTAAGCCAAGATTTTGGGATGGTCTCGTTCCTAAGTCGGCTAAGAGCTTCGGTCCAGAAAATAAATTTATCGTTGGCATACAGTAAAATGCATACCAAACTCGGCCGGTGATAAATTTTCAAGACCTCAGTCCTTACTGATTTTTGAACTCGGCCTTCGGCCTCGTTCAAAAATCCAGTAAGGACCTCGGTCTTGAAAATTTATTTACACCGGCCTCGTTCAGTATTATATAATGCTGTTCATGATGATACGCTTTTATTGCTGCTATGTAGGCATTTAGTGCACTAACGGCTTCCTTGATAACTCTTAACCCTCGCCCATGTAGGGGGGGGGGGTTGGTGCAACCCCCCCCCCCTGAGGTTTTTCGAAAATAGTGCAAAAACGGCGGCGCGCAGCGCCGCCAAATTTTGGGTACCTTATGGGGCAAACCTTGCGCATCTTTTGATAAAAAAAAATTTGACCGGGTCATGTCAGGTCACGGAGTTATGACGTCACAAAGGGAACAGCCTCCGGCCGGATTTTCACAAACTGAGTGCCAACGCCCGAGGTTTCCTGCCGTTGGTACGGACATCGGTTGATGGATCGTGATGAAACTTCCCATGCATATTGGGGCAAGTATTGGCTATCATATGGTATAAGAAACTTGACCGGGTCAGGTCAGGTCACGGAGCTATGACGTCACAAGAGGAACAGCGTCCGGTACTATTTTTGAAAAGCGCCCGAACCACTATTTTGCTAATTCTTGTCACCTCAATGGGAATATGCAGCAATATTAGCTTCTATAGGGAGCAAATGGACCTCCCAAATCCAAAAATACAATCAGGTTTCAAAAATTTAAATTTTGATTTTTCGAATTTCTGCCGCCGACTGTGACCTTGCCGACTTCCGGCGCTCCCAACGCGCCATTTTTAGAGCTAGGGAAACGAAATACATACCAAACGATAGAGAATTGATCAAGGAACACGATAGTGAAGGTTTCAAGTCGATATCTCCCACCGTTTTGCCGCAATCGCCGCCGAAAGTTGAAAAAAGTCTATTTTTCCGAAAATTTGACCTTTGACCGGTCAAAAGTAGGTCAAATGTTGACCTAGGACCAAAAAATATACCACCAATCGCGAGATCTCGGCGAGAGCAATCCGATGGTCTTTTCCGCTAAGCTCTACGACGCTCCGTTTTCAAACGCCAAGGGGGGGGGGTCGCACCAACCCCCCCCCTGCATGGGCGAAGGTGGCAGATTGCCGTTTACGGGCGAGGGTTAACTGCTAAAATAATTATATACCGATCAGTAAACTTTTGTACCTAGCGTTCATAATCAGTGATAAATTAGCTACATTTCTTGATATCCCCTGACCTTTCCTGACATCACGAAATATTTCCTGTCATCGCAAACTATTTTTGGCATCTTCTGAGTCTGACCTTTCTTTGGAGCACGGAACCTTTCGTAATGTCACGAAACCTTTGGAGACATCATAAACCCGCTTATTACCCCCACAGCTGGCCTTTTGTAGCATCTTTTAACCCTCGCCGGACCTATTGGTTTTCTACATACGCGCCGGCCGAGGGGGGGGGGGTACGACCCCCCCTCGCCGTTTCGCCCCTGGTGGAGCTAGCGCGTCGCGGAAAAAACGAGCGTGTGCGCCGTTACGAGACGCAGAGGTTGGTACCCGATTTTAAGGTCCTAGGTCAACCGGTGACCTCTGAGGTCAGGTCAAGTGCCACAAGGTACGTTTCAGTTTTTGGTGAATAACTTCGCAAAAAACGGCCGCAGAGCGCCGATTTTGGCAGCATCGTGTTCGCCTCGCTCAGGCGCGTCGAATGATATACTTTTTGTCCGGGTCAGGTCAATTTGGGGTGTTGACCTCAGGTCAAGGTCAGGTCAGCACCCCCAGGTCACGAAGTTGGTCGAAAGAGGTCATGTCGCATATCATTCGATTTGGCAGACCTTCCTGAGTCCATTGGTGGCTTTTCCGACTCGCTAGCTCAATTCGATCAAGAGTTATTGACGAAAAACTAATATGACCTTGATGACGTCATAAATGACGGCACGCAAGGTCAACATTGCAAAAGTGACGCATCTAACCTTGCAAGGAGTGCATCAAATCACGATTCTGTGTGCTTGATATAGTTGGAGATCGTTCCCGGCGCCAGAATAGCAGTTTTCATTTTTCCCCATTGACTTATAATGGTGAGGTCACGAAAATGACCTGACCTCATATGACCTTTAGGAAAAATCCGAGATATACAAGTTGTGGGACTCATAATGGATACTAGATCCTGCAAGTTTCATTTCCCTGTGACATCTCCTCTGGCAGTGAGGGCGTTGCGAAGTTGCGACATCTGAAGACCGTGCAGAGGTTCACTTATGACGTCATAGGTCAGTGACCTGACCTCACCCAAAAATGCGGTTGGTTTCAAAAGATCCGGCTTGGATCAAAGGTCAGGTATGCCAAGTTCCAGCTCTCTATCGCCAGCGTGTTCGGAGCTATCGCAAAAAAAACTATGGGGGGGGGCGGCACCCGCCCCCCCCCCTCGGCCGGCGAGGGTTAACTATCAATGACATCAAAGAACATATTGTAGCATTATAGAACACATCGTAACATTAGAGAACATATCGTGGCCTTACCTGACCTTTCATGACGTCACAAATCTAACCTCTCACCTATGCTCTCACCTATGCTGTCACCTCTCACCTATGCAAATCTAACCTCTCACCGTACGCTAACCAGGGTGAGAAGGGCGAGCCAGGAGCCATGGGTCCTGCTGGACCCACCGGGCCCACCGGCCTCCCCGGCATGAACGGAATACAAGGAGAGGCCGGCAAACCGGGGGCGCCGAGTGACCCCGGCCCGCCGGGTCCCGCGGGCCCCGCCGGGCCTCAGGGCCCGCCCGGACCTGTCGGAGAACCGGTGAGTGGAGGGGGAGGGAGGGAGAGAGAGAGAGAGAGAGAGAGAGAGAGAGAGAGAGAGAGAGAGAGAGAGAGAGAGAGAGAGAGAGAGAGAGAGAGAGGAGGGAGAAGGAGAGTAGGTAAGGGAGAGAGGGAATATATGGGGTACATTTTACATAGTCCTCACTTAGCATAGAGCTGAGGTCCTATATAACAGCATCCTACTTAGAAATTCGCGTCTTCACTTATTTTCGTTTATCTTTGTTTATGCGTGTAATAGGTAGGTACCTATTGCGTTTTGTGCTATAATACGTGTCAGAGATGTACAGAGATGTACAGAGATGTCAGAGATGTAGATAGGTAAATTAAATTGAAAGTTTTTTTAAGTGTTGCTTTATTGCTGTCTTGGATTTGCAATCTCATGTTTACATTAAGACATAGTGAATGACAAACAATGGTGAAAAGGGCTTTGTGAAAGTGAAGTGCTAATATTTCGCTTATTGCTCGCTTTATGTACTTTACTGACCAACTAACCAATACTTTAATAGTTATAGGCTGAACTAACCTAGTACCGCTTTCTTACACAGTAGATATTACTGAAAAACTCACCAATGCTTCTAAACTAACACACATGTGTCTGTATTTCTTCCGTTTTTGTTTGCGCTTTTCAAAAATAATGTCCTCTTAATGTTTTCAATCAGTAAACGTTCAAGATCGTTATATGTTTTGAGCATACTGATCACTTAGCTACTCGTTTTTAGATATTGCGGTTTTATTGCTGTCGATCTTAAAAAATGTAATGTAAGATTTCCTTTTATCCTTTTACAAAAAGTAATTGTATCGATCATTTATTATGCCCACAACTCTATCGCCCATGCTTGCATATTGCGCTGTTCTGCGCTCAACAATATTTTGTTTTTAATAATGTGAAATCTTCTTGCTATTCTATCCATATTTTACACAGAAATTCATCGCTTCTCTCCCCCCGTTCTATCACGAGATGTCTCCCCAGGTCTGACATGTCTCCCTTTCTCCACAGGGAATGAAGGGAGACAAGGGTGAGCGAGGTCTCATCTCGACCGTGGATGGAAGTTTCCCGACAGGATTCATTGAAGGGCCACCGGGTCCACCAGGTAAGTTAGAGATGGACGTTGGCATACTGATGACGCTGGCATACTGACACACTAGCAATTACTGTGAGAGAGACCGACTGTTACGCTAGAGACACTGCTAAGTTGGAGATTGACACTGCTACGCTGGCATACTGACACACTGACAATTACTGTTAGAGAGACACTGCTATGTTCGAGACACTGCTGAGTTGGAGATTGACACTGCTACGTTTGCATACTGATACACTGACAATTACTGAGAGAGACACTGCTACGCTGGCATACTGACACACTGCCAATTACTGTGAGAGAGATACTGTTACGTTAGAGACATTGCTAAGTTAGGATTGACACTGCTACGTTTGCATACTGACACACTGACAATTGCTGTTAGAGAGACACTGCTACGCTAGAGACACTGCTGAGTTAGAGATAGACACTGCTACGTTGGCATACTGACACACTGACAGCATTTTCTCGAGTCCCGACGAGTCCCGACAGGACTGATCGAAGGACCACCGGGTCCACCCTAGGTGAGTTGGAGATCACTGACACACGGACACTGATATTGACACATTCACAATTTGACAGCAGCTTTCCGACCGTATTTATCAAGGGACCTTCAGGTCCGTAATGTCAGTTTATACGGTGACACTAACACATTAACCTTAAACCTACTGACATTGATACGATTGATAAAGTGAACATTTGACACTTGCTCTCCAGCAGAGTTGATCAAGGAGCCACCACAAGGGCCGCCGAATTGGCACAAGCCTCACCTTGTAATTTTATTAGAAGAATGCCATAAATAAAGTGATCTAAGACGATTTGTCGTCAATCATGTCTTATTTGATGGGAATACTTTTGATCGGAATGGTAAATTACATCCGTGCCGATGAAGTAATCAAAAAGTGAAGACGATGAGACTCAGGCTTAGAAGAAGACGAGAGCTACAACCTTGACCCTGACCCTGATCCCGTTTTTGACCTGACCGTGACCGTGACTTGACCCTGACTTAAACTTAACCAGACCTGACCTTGACCCTGACTTTGACCTTAGCCATGACCAGACCCTGATCAAGCACTGACATGATCCGGACCTGGCCTTGACCCTAACCTCGACTCTCCCCTTGACCTGCCACTGACTTTAACATGATGCTGACTTCACCCTGACCCGACTCTGACCCTCCCCCCTCTGACCTGACCTTGACCTCAACTCTGACCCAACCCACCATCTCCCCACAGGTCCGCCCGGACCACCGGGTCCTCTGGGTGGTCTCGGACCAATTGGTCCACCCGGACCGGCCGGCAAAATAGGACCACCGGGACCGCGAGGCAGGCGCGGCAAACGGGTGAGTTGTGACGTCATATGTTAGGATATGACGTCAGAGTATGACGTCAAGCGTCCACCTGGCTCCATCACTGATGGTTACGGTACAGTATGACAGGAAGCTATTTGCCCTCGGCTATTTCCCGGTATTTTTGTGAGTTGTTTTTGACAGGTGATGGCTAGTTCTGCTTGAGCGACAGAAGATAATGCTTGTGCGTTGCTTGGAAGTCAAAATCAGCTTTTACTATGCACGTTATGCTGTAATAGCGCAGCGCATGCTTTGCTCTGGCTTTGTCTAGCTAATTGAACGCCTTTCAACAATCAGCTTGTTTGCCAAACTGCACGTTGGACTAAAGTGGGACTTTGATTTATTTGTTTTCTTGATTATTTTCTTGCTGACCTACGTCTTTTGACCCCAATATGGTCCGACCTCCACTGACCTGACCTGACCCACTGCTTTGTTATCCTACCTGTTGCTTAAGATAATACTCAGGTGTATTTATCTATTATTTTCATCAAGGTTTATCACATACTTTATCGTAGCCTACCCTTTCAACCACCAAATACAGTGATCGCAGCTACAAAAGGCTTACTACAGATCAATTGTTGCAGGTGGCAACTGCGACCTTATTTTGTGCGGAATGTGGGGTGCGTGTTACCTTCTTCTAAGTGTGTTTTTGTCGTAGAATTGGCTGTGCTGTGCTAACCATGCTACCTAATTGTGCTAACTGTGTGCTGGTTGTGCTAACTGTGCTAATCGTTTCAGATGCCCACTACTAGCCCTAACCAACCGCTACCGGGCTGCTGGACACGGGGACGATTTTTAAATTTGAACATCTTGACTTTAATGGAAAAGCATCTAAAAAGGAAATAAACATAGTAAACACATCGATTTTTTTGCAGTTTTGAAAAAAGTGATTTTTACAGGAACGGAAATTCATTCGCGCACAAATATGTGCACATAATTTTCAAAGCTAAACTCTTATTCTATCGCTCACCCTAGATACAAAATAAATGTGCATCACAACCGGTAGTACCACTGATGCCCAGTACAAAATTGGTTTAATGCACATTTGACTTGCAATGCACACGCATCTGGGGTAACTATTACAATAAACGCCTTGCTCGCCGCCTCACCAAATCTTCCATCAGCAAACTATTCCGTGTTTGGAGAGTCTGAGCCCTGTCCGGCAGCGGTGCGTCCCGTCCCCTAGCCCTTTAGATGGTGGCGGCTGCCGCGCTCGTCGTCTTCCGTATCTCGTCTCCCGTCTTCCGTCTCTGTCTCTGTTGTCCGTCCGTTCGTCTGATCGTCTGATCGGCCGATCTACGTCACTCTGACGTCATCCATAACGGTATGTGTGGTGTCATGACGTCCAGATGACGTCATCAGTCACGGTTTGCTAGCTAATAATGTTATTGGAGTTTTTTCCATGCCTTATCGGTGTTCATTTTCGATATTTTAGGCTATATAATTGTTAACTGTGTAGGTATTGTCTAATACGTTGCAGTTATTACAAGGTGGGGTATGTTTTTAGCATTCAAACTTCATTATAAGTATGGGGAGCGATTCATTTATTTTGAGGACTTTCAGTCAGGTGTTTTCCAGTCACTTTTGAATCATATAAAAACAGATTTCTTCTTGAGCTCACCAAGATTTAGGGACTGATATGACACTGCTACATTTCAAGCATGTGTTATCTCGTCATTTAGTCATCAACTACGCCCCTGTCCCGGTATAACCCAACCTTTACCTGACAGGGTAAGAACGGGCGAGCTGCCATGATCGGCCGGCCTGGCAAACCGGGACCGGAGGGCCAGAAAGGAGAGCACGGCATCAAGGGCGAGAAAGGTCAGTTCACATCGGGAGTTGTATCGGATTGAGACAGTGGCTAGGTGTCTTATAAGACACGGCCTCAGGGACGAGAAAGGTCAGTTCACATCAGCGACAGAAGGAGTTTGGACAGTGAGATAAAGGGCGAAGTCAGCAGCAAGATGAGTGGGTGTGCTTAGGTGGGACATTTTAGCGTTGTGCTAGTGCTATTGGACAAAACGAGAATCAAAGGTATGATTACTCGTGAGACTGTCTCAGCCTTTTTCAATGAAGTTGTGAATATCAGTGGGTTTCTTCTGTCACAATTTTAGATATTGATGGGTATAATTGTTTCCATTTGTCTATATTTATTTCACTATATTTAACCCGCGCCGTGCTGGGGGGGGGCGTTTTTACGCCCCCCCTCAGGTTTTTCGCGAATATCTCAAAAACGGCGGCGCGCAGCGCCGCCGTTTTTGGTACACGTGTTCCTACATCATTTCCGCACATGTTGTGAAAATTTCAGACCTAGGCCGTTCAAGGTCAGGTCACCAGGTCACGTCAAGTGACCTTACCTCAGAAAAAGTTCAAAGGCTCGCTATAGCTACACCGACTGAACGATCACTTTGAAACTTTCAGCGATTGATATGAGTAACAGTATGTATAAAATGTATATCTCGGATTTTTGATATCTGTGACCTAAGGTCAGGTCAATTTTGCGACCTCTCCATTATAAGTCAATGGGAGAAAATTGAAATGCGCCTCTTTTGGACGAATATCGTTCAAAACGCTCTCAAACATCGGTTCATAGGTAAACATGACACACTGAATAGGAAAAATGCACCTGTGACCCCTCTGTGTGCCCCTGAGGTCATCTCAGGTCATGAACGGTCGCCAGCAGTTTTTTGGCTATAACTTTTGATAGAGACGTGCTAGAGCGGTGAAAACACGTCAGATGTGTTCAGCTCGACGATACGGATCGACTGATATGCAACATGACCCTTTTCGGTCAGGTCATGACCTTGACCTGAGGTCAAATTTTCAAAATGACCTTTCAAGGTCAACAAATAGTTCATTCGACGCGTCTCGACGAGAGGAACACGATGCTGGCAAAAGTAATGTCATGGCGCTTATGAGTCAAAAGTTATTGACGAAAAAACGTTTTTCGTAAAAACGGCTATTTTTGGAGTTTTTGCCCTCTGGAGGCTAAACCGTTGACCTGAGGTCAAATCTGAGAACATTACTCAGAAAGGTCTGTAAAAGGGCTATCGAATGCGCTTTTCCGCGGCGCTGTAGCTCTATCGGTTCCCGAGATAGCCGTTGGCAGTTTCCAAAATGTTGAAATAGTCAACATTTTACCTTTGGTGACCTCTGGTGACCTGACCTTTGACCTGACCCAAAAAATGACCGAAGTGTTTTCGTCCTTATTTTTGACGCTCTTTCGATTGCCGCTTACCGCGTGTCGCTACGTGGCCCAGGAGCCGAGTTAGACGGGGGGGCGTGAAAACGCCCCCCCCCAGCACTCGGCGGAAAGTTCAGGCCACCAGCACGGCGCGGGTTAATACATTGACGTCTTTGCTGACTTTTGAATCGCCTCCAAAATTGATCCCATTCACTCCTGATTGACCTCAATATGACATCCTGGACATCTGCTTGTTCTCAGTGTCACACAGACCTCTGATCGACCTCTGATTGACCTCACTGACCTCTGCTCTCTCTAGTGATGTCAATTACAGAAAATTTGAATACCGATGCCAAACCAAATATCAATCAAAACCGTCAGGAAATACTGAAACCGAACCACTTGGGAACATGAGGAAAATACCAACCCTTTACCAAATTCTCAGCCCCTTATTCATTAGTGAGGGTTTATCATACCAACAAAATACCAAAAACATAAGGTTTGAAATACCAAATACCAAGTTGGTATCGGTTTGGTATCGGTAGGTATACCAAAAAGTTGGTATCCGATTGACATCTCTAGCTCTCTCCCTCAGGCAACATCGGTGACATGGGTCTCCCCGGTCTGCCGGGAGAGCGCGGACCGGTTGGTCCTCCGGGCCGGGATGGCCTCGATGGGGAGACGGGACCGCATGGTCCTCCCGGCCAACCGGTGAGTAAAGCGGGCTTCACACTGAACGGTAAAGAAAAACACGGAACAAATGGTTGTCTCTATCAATATACAACTGAGCGTTAAAGGTCACAACGGTAGTTATAGTGTGTGTGTGTGTGTGTGTCTCAGTGAATACTAATGGTTTGGCTCACAGAGGATGCGAATAGAGGATGCGCTGCACTAACGGTAAAATATAGGGTCATATTGAATGGTAAAGGTTTGGTTCACATTGGTCAGTAAAACGAGATACAGGGAGCGGTAAAGGCTTTATTTACATCATTGAGTAAGGAGCGAGGCTCTCTGAATGGTGTGAAGTATCGGCTTACATCGAAACTCACCAAATGTAAAATGGTCTCACACTCATCGATGTCATCGTAAGGTGCTGGTTACAACAACAACTGGTTATATACAACACTGCATGACAGTTTGCAACAAGAACAACAACAAAAATAACAGTGCGATCCAAAATAACTGGTAATTGCAAACTAAAAATCAAAGGACCCATAATCCCGTACTGCCACGCGACCCATAATGACCCCTGACCTTTCCGCAGGGCACCGGAGGACCAAAAGGAGACCACGGCGATGTGGGAGACATGGGACCACCGGGTCTGATGGGACCACCTGGTCTCCCGGGACCTCCGGTAAGTTGTAGTGATGTCAATTACAGAAAATCAGGATACCGCTACCAAACCAACTACCAACCAACACCGGGGGGATTACCTAAACCAAACCAACTTGGAAACATGAGGGAAATACCAACTTTTTACGAATTTCTCAGCCTCTTAGACATAAGTGAGGGTTCATAATACCAACAAAATACCAAAAATCATAAGGTTTGAAATACCAAATACCAAGTTGGTATCGGTTTGGTATCGGTATACCAAAAAGTCTGTATCTGATTGACATCCCTAGTAAGCTGTATGTCTGTCTCATCGTACACTGATTGCTGGTTATGACCGTTCAACTCCTCCACTAAACGCTCATCCGTTTTTCTCTTGCTATTTTTTTTTTTATAGAAATTTTGTCCGAATGGATGAATGGGTGGCTATGGGCCCGGGTGCCCCGCTAAGCAGTGCTTGTTGCGAATGACACCACGGACCCACCACCCCACCTTGCCCGCGCCCGGCTCACCGGTGGTAATTTGTTATAAAACCTTTGTTAAATCTTTTAAGCAGCGTCGAATATAAATTACGTTGAAGTTGTTGAGGAACGGAGCTAAGCATCATCGAATGTAAATAACGAACGGGTGTTGTTGAGTAACGTTTGAACATAGTTTGAGTCGATCACATATGGCCCATGACATATGAGACCATGACATATGGCAGGCAGGCATCAGCTTTCCTTTTTCTCGATAGTTGTTTATGTTTCCGCAATATGCTCAAAATAAATAACCAAATACAGTCCAACTGATTATACAGATAGTGTCAGATATAGTTATCACAGTGTTGAAGCGTAACGGTCCTGCATGCACTACCGCTAAAAACCTCACGATTTCTACTGTCATGACAAAGCGGTGTTTGCAGTGGAGTGTACTTTCTGCTGTCATTGAGCTGTTTTGTCTGATTCTCTGTCTGATTTTTCCTCCCAGGGTCTGCCAGGTTCGCCAGGCGAGAAGGGGGATAAGGGGGATTCGGTAAGAAACTCACCTATGTGTTCTCACCACTGAGATACAATTTACACAGCAGTCACTAGCCCGTTACAACTAAAACTCATATTTCTTTCATGCTTTTGTTTTGGTTTTGTGCTTAGACAAATAATTCTGCCATAATGTACACAGTTCAGTTGTTATCCATGTGTGGATATAGTTATCTTGTATCATGACGAGAAATCATATCATTGTATTTTGCAGTGACTCTACGTCAACGTTCTTATTTTTACTTTTAGCATGCCTTCAGTCTTTTGTAAGAGACAGAATAAAACAAACAAAAAGCTTCCAATGCCGTCTTGTCATTATGTGACGGGACTGCGTCGTATCTGTCATGCGTTCTCAGGAATGGAGCGCAAGAATGTAGCCAGCTAAATATTTCTACTGATCAATATGGTCTGAAAAATAAAACCATCATCATCACCCCCCCCCCCCTTTCCTCCATCAGAAATACAAGAAGTTGAGACGGCGGAACGGAGCCAAACCCTCCACTGATCTCATCGAATACATAGCGGGACCGCCGGGTCCGGCGGGACCACGGGGCCACCCTGGTCCGCAGGGACCACCCGGTATAAAGGGCAGTAGGGGCCTGGACGGCACGAGAGGACCACAGGTGAGAGGGGGAGGAGGGGGGGAGAGAGAGAGAGAGAGAGGGAGAGAGAGAGAGAGAGAGGGAGAGAGAGAGAGAGAGAGAGAGAGAGAGAGAGAGAGAGAGAGAGAGAGAGAGAGAGAGAGAGAGAGAGAGAGAGAGAGAGAGAGAGAGAGAGAGAGGGAGGGAGGGAGGGAGGGAGAGGGTTGAATCAAATAGAACATTTGAAGGTAAGATTAGGACCTTGTCTTGCAGTCTGCACCTTGTCTAGGATCTTGGCTTGTCCAGAGGCTGACGGGTAGTTTATATAGTTATGTTTATCTATTTATTTATTGTTGCATTTCACTTTTTGATCACGTGAAGGATTAGGAAACACCGCATATTATTGTGTGAAAAGTCACGAAGGACAGAGCATATGAGTCATTTGAGTATACGTTGCCTAGTATTTTGTGGGTGTGGGGTTAAAAAAACGCTTTCTCACCTGTCCATTATTAAAGTTTTTAAGTTTTTACATGACTTCACTGAAACCAATTTAACCCAAGGCCGGCGAGTAAACCGGTGTTTCACGGGTACCCCTATCCGCAACCATTTTTAACCACCCTTCCAGGAGTAGTGCTAGGTCCCATTGCGGTGTAGTCGTACTTGCTCTGAGCGGATATAACCGCTGTCAGCGAACATATCCACTGAGAGCAGGGACGACTACACTGCAATGGGACCTTACTGTACAGTCTGTCTTAAAAGTACCGCGCAAAGTGACGGTGGATCCATCAAGCCTGACCGAGGAAGGGCCTGCTGAATTTGAAAGTCACCGAAACAATTGACCTGGGGAATGGACTAGGATGTCAATTGCTTCGGTGACTCAAATTCATCAGGCCCTTCCTCGGTCAGGCTTGATGGATCCACCGTCACTTTGCGCGGTACTTTTAAGACAGACTGTACATACTGCTGGGAGGGTGGTTAAAAATGGTTGCGGATAGGGGTACCCGCGAAACACCGGTTTACTCGCCGGCCTTGGGTTAAATTGTTTTCAGTGTTGCTTATGAAATATTGGATAAAAATACGTTTCATTACCCCGTCACTATATGTGTTTTCAAGCATTTTATTTGTACTGTGCTGCTTCTGAACTGTTCACTCAAATGCGCCTCCGATTTTGAAGTCACGCTAGAATCTGTGTTTGCAAGCCGTTTCCTTACACTCCTGTTTACGTTTCCAGGGTGACAAAGGCGACAAGGGAGACTCCGGTCCGATTGGTCTGCCGGTAAGTGACGTCATGAGAGTGACGATGACGTAATAACTCATAAGAGCCACTTTGTCTTTTGGAATTATGTGCAAAGCCATTTCATGTAACTGATAATATACCTTGCCGCGCAACTGATCAGAACACCTTTTACATAGATTGCGATGATGATTGTTTTTGTTTTAGTTTAGCTGTGATGTTATTTAACAATTAATTATCGAAGCCATATCTCAAGCGGGATATAATATAGTCAAACTTGCCACCATCGCTAAATGTGAGGAATCCCTTAGTGACGACATGATCCTGAGTCATTCTTGCATACCTTCTATCCGGTGTTAACGCAAAAGCACAACATCTCGAGACTCTGAACTCGTCACAACTCTGCGTCATCAAATTCACACTGGACTGATATGCATAACCGCAGGTTGTTTGAAATAGAGAACACTTTTCGTTACAACTGTGTTTTCTACTGATAATCATTTGTACGTATGAAGTCAGAAGTGCCTCATTCTTTGATGTTGTTGTTGCTGTTGTTGTTGTTGTTGTTGTTGTTGTTGTTGTTGTTGCTTCTGCTGTTGTTATTGTCGTTTCTTTCCAGCCGCTACCGCGGCGTAGCCGTATGCCTGGCTCTGGAGGTTCTTTGCTCGTATACTGACACCCTCTCTATCCCTTCCCCTAGGGTCCGATGGGAGTCAGAGGACTCCCCGGTCACAAAGGCACGCCAGGATCACCGGTAATGTACTGGGCTATAATGACTATATGGTAGGCCGTCATTCGGTATAGGAGACGCCGTGGGCGCAGAAGTGGCTTATGCCTATTAATTATCATTAATTAGCGATATGTATAAATATTGCTGATTTAAGCTCCAAGGGAAAATACTCGTTTAATTACATTTACAATTTAACTATTTTGCACCTAATTTCGTGTTTCTATTATGAGGTTACTTGTCATTTTTACTTAAATGATAAAGACAAGGATTCGTAGTTACGGATTCATGTAACTATTTCTGTAATCAATACGCAAAATAATGACGACATGTGCTACGTCAACCGCTTATCGCCAACGTTGCACGTCAACTTCGCTTCAACGTCTCGCGTTTCTATTTGACGTCAATTTTATTTACATCAGCAATTTGTCATAACCCATCCGGCTGTCATGTAGCCAGTGTTACATTTTCCGTCATTTTTGGTTCGCAATTAATTATTATAAGACCCCGTATCATTCCCTCAATGTATGACGCTATTGTGGTTCGTCATTGTATGACCTCATATTATACCCGCAGGGTCTTCCGGGTCTGGACGGTGTAAAAGGATATAAGGGAGAGCCGGGTCTGAAAGGCGAGCGAGGCGATCCCGGACTACCGGTAAGATAGATAATTAACAAGCGACCTCGCGCGCCTCGTTTCATGACTTTATACGATGTTACTTCACACTCTTTGGTATTGCTTTACGCTCTTTGGCGTTAGTCTACACTCTTTGCGGCTTTTTTCTGTCGGTCTTCGCTCTTCTTGATGTTGCGGCTTTACAAACTTCACTTTCGCTTTATTATCTTTGGTGTCGCTTTATATTTTTTTTTTTTTACACTGTTCGGTGCTGTCTAGCCCAGTTGTATTTCTTGTGACTGCAAATTTAATTGTCGTGCCATTATCTGTCGTGAAATGTGCTAACAACTTACTGAGAGTTAAAGCCATACCACAGGTATTTGTTTGCCCTGCTTTGTTTGTGCTAAACGTGTTAACTTGCCGTTTGTCGGTTCGCTTGTTGTATGCGTCTTTGTAGTACCCTTTTCACTGGGTAATGATGTTTTCACATGTCCACGTGCTCCGTCTGGATGGTGTCTTCGTCTTGCCTCTCTTCGTGTCCTTGTTTTCTTGTCATTGACTTTTGCACTGTTTGCTACAAAAAATCATACCCGTTATCGTCTCATAATATGTATCTATAGGCAAACATATGAGTATATCCCACTATTCTTACCCTTTTCATTTTCCACAGCTCCTTTTACATATATTATTGCATAATAAATGTTGCACCGTGTGATCGCATTTTTTTCTGTACAAAGGCTTGCACTGAAAGTTATGTATTGCGTCTGACCCACGTGCATATGCCTGTGCCGCTCGTTGTTAACCCGCGCCCCACTGGGGGGGGCTATTTATAGCCCCCCCCTCCCGTTTTTCTGCAATAACTTCCAAACCGCTTGACGTATCGACGACAAGCTTTCAGCACCTTCGGCTGCATCGATTTGACACCTTGTGTCAAAATTTGAACTTCGTACCTACCATAGGTCGGCCGGAAATGACGTCAGAGTGACGTAATGTTCGGCCGATTTCGACGCAAAACATTGAACCACGGCAATCGCTCCCAAGAGCTCAGTTTTTAAGCTAGATCCAATTTCTTTGCATGAGCTGACTCAGAATAGACTGCGCTATCAAACTGCTATCTCGGATTTTCGAAATTTTGAAAATTTCGAAAAAAAAATTATAATAAAATTCAAAATTTATATTTATACATTTTTTTTCAAAAACTTTTTGACTTTTCGAAAAAAACGGAATATATGTGATAGAACACATTATTATGACTAAGCCTAGCAAGTTTTAGCTAAATATCTTCAAAAATGGCCAAGTTATACGCATTATTGCAAAAAATTAACAATTATTAATTTTTCAAATCAATTTTTCAGCACGAATTTGACATCGTACGCCAATATAAATAGCACCATCGTGTTCCTGAGCTCAAACTGCATCCAATAGACACATTTTTTGTTAAAAAATTATAACTTCAAAATTTGACCTTTTTTGACCTGAAAGTGACCTGACCTGAGCTAAATTTGACTCAAAATGACCTGGAATGACACAGACGACATCAAATTCGAAATCTTTGGCCTAAATGGACCATAAAACATGTGTCACGTGACCGACGGATGATATAATATTTTCGTGACCTGTGATAACCTGACCTTGACCTGAAAATCAAAGTACAAGTTTGGTACCCTCAGAGTATCTAGAGCATCGGTTCACGAGTGTGTGAACCAAAAATGAGCCTGATCTGACTTGTAAGACGGCGGCCAGAGCCCAAAAAGTGAAGAAGCCAAAATGCTAATAATTTTTACTTTGACCTGACCTGTGACGTCATCGGTGACCTCGAGGTCAATGAAATTAGGTTTCGCTCGACAGTTTTTCCGGGGCTATCAGACGCCGTTTGAATTTTGACGATCGGCCCAGTAGTTTCGGAGTTAGGAGGGGGGGCTATGAATAGCCCCCCCCCCAGTAGGGCGTGTTATACGCAGACCCCAGTGGGGCGCGGGTTAATTATGTAGGCGCTTCGAATGAAAATTCACCTGAGGTCCTTTCCTTTTGTTTATTGGGGCCTTTGAGGCGCGCTGACTACAAGGTCTTTTTACGCCCTCAACGTACCTGCGTTGCTTTAACCCTCGCCCGCACATGGGTGGGGGGGGGGGTGGTTGCCACCCCCCCAGGCAGTCTTTCTGCTCTGCACTCAACATTTTGAGAGCTAGGAGGCTGATTTTTCGTATAGCTGCTCGTTTATCTTTTCTTGATGTCCACTGAAAATTTCAAGTTTCTGTGATTTTTGGTTTCGGAGATATGACCTTGTTTTTCAGGTCATGTCATGACCCAAATGGCCAGTTCTCAACATCTTGCGTTTGCCATGGGCCTTGTGAGCTTTTGACACCCTGATTTCGGCCTTTTTTGCCATTCTTACCTCCCACCTATCATGGAACATATTGTTCGACGATGTACAGGGGTCAAGGTCAGGGTCAAGGTCAACCTAGGTCATCTAAGATAATTGCGTTTTAGGCAAGCTGAATTTACTTTTTGTGAAGTTTTTTGACTGCATTTTTGGTAAAAGCTTCTCAGATCATTATTTCATGTGATATGGACCCAAAAACAATCGGTGCACACATCAGTATACACACAGACACACACAGACATACAAACGCATATAATTGACCTTGACCTAACTTGACCTGAAATGACCTCAGCAGCAAAATTCTGGTCGGATAGTGTGACAAAGAGGTTCTAGCTAGCTTAGCACCAGAAAACAGCATCGTCATCGGTATTTGATAAGCAGCGCACTTGATATCCAACGGTGACCCAAAACAGCAACATTTTTTAGTTTGATCTGACCTGGAAGGTCAATGACTGACCTGAGAAGGTAAAACTGGGTATCATTGGATTTGTCTCTTCCCAAAGAATCTTTTTGGTCTTTACTGCTAAGCTCTATCTCCAACAGGAACGAAATGGCGCGGGGGGTGGCAACCACCCCCCCCCCCCCCATGTGCGTTCTAGGATGGGAAAATGGCATATGCGGGCGAGGGTTAAGGCTTCATAAAACCTTGCGTTCCTTTTGTAATTGATTGCTAACTTGGAGTCGTTATTTCATAGACGAATGAACTTGCAAGTAAGCCGCAAGCCCAAAATTGGCCGCAGTAAATATAGGCAAAGTTAGGATACCATATATTTTTTAAGCAGCCCCTTGCAATGTGTATACTCGTTTACAAAAAAAGGTGTGTGATACGTCGTGAATGTTTATAGTATGCTGTGTCATTTGTTTATTGTTCTCATTTTCCATTGCTTGTTGTATGTTGCCAATGTTGCATGTTGTAAAGACTAGAAGCTGATTGTATGTGTTGCGTTGCATGACCATATTCCACGATGATCATAGCAATTTTGATAAAACCGACCCCGTTGTACAGAGAAATTTTTATATATTTTACTGCTTGTTCTGGCATTGTGTAGACCATTTCACTGGACTAGGTTTTGACCATTAGCTATATTCAATATTCATATTGTTATCCCTAATTTAAAGAAGCATAACCTGTAATATAGATGTTTGAAAAAGGGCGTTTATAAGTTTTTACAATCCATTCTCTAACTCTAAATTGTCGAGACAATGTATAAATTTGACGTAAATTGCCGCTTGTGTGTCTGGTCGAAACTCTTCTATCATCTGAACACCTCTTCAAGGCGCTGATTTTGATGGGTTTTATTCTGTATGTATTCGGTTTTCATTCGTGTATGACTGACTGCTGACATTTTCCACACTGTATTCACAGGGAGAGAAGGGAGATCGAGGGCTAATGGTACGTACCAACCTACCGTAACAAATCACACAAACATCGCATTATATTTGTCTCGTTTTGTGGTCATTTAAAATATAATTACCTACCATTCCAAAAAATTAGCATTTAACCCTCGCCCGCACATGGGGGGGGGTTGCCACCCCCCCAGGCAGTCTTTCTGATCTGCACTCAACATTTTTAGAGCTAGAAGGCTGATTTTTCGTATAGCTGCTCGTCCATCCTTTCTTGATGTCCACTGAAAATTTCAAGTTTCTGTAATTTTTGGTTTCGGAGATATGACCTTGTTTTTCAGGTCATGTCATGACCCAAATGGCCAATTCTCAACATCTTGCGTTTGCCATGGGCCTTGTGAGCTTTTGACACCCTGATTTCGGCCTTTTTTGCCAGTCTTACCTCCCACCTATCATGGAACATGTTGTTCGACGATGTACAGGGGTCAAGGTCAGGGTCAAGGTCAACCTAGGTCATCTAAGATAATTGCGTTTTAGGCAAGCTGAATTTACTTTTTGTGAAGTTTTTTGACTGCATTTTTGGTAAAAGCTTCTCAGATCATGACTTCATGTAATATGGACCCAAAAACAATCGGTGCACACATCAGTATACACACAGACACACACAGACATACAAACACATATAATTGACCTTGACCTAACTTGACCTGAAATGACCTCAGCAGCAAAATTCTGGTCGGGTAGTGTGACAAAGAGGTTCTAGCTGGCTTGGCACCAGAAAACAGCATCGTCATTGGTATTTGATAAGCAGCGCACTTGATATCCAACGGTGACCCAAAACAGCAACATTTTTTAGTTTGACCTGACCTGGAAGGTCAGTGACTGACCTGAGACGGTAAAACTGGGTAGCATTGGATTCGTCTCTTCCCAAAGAATCTTTTTGGTCTTTACTGCTAAGCTCTATCTCCAACAGGAACGAAATGGCGCGGGGGGTGGCAACCACCCCCCCCCCCATGTGCGTTCTAGGATGGGAAAATGGCATGTGAGGGCGAGGGTTAAAAAGTAAATGCCTTGATATACTTGGGTGCAATTGATTCAAGTAACGTCTACAGTCAGATTGCCAAAATTTGCTTAAATCGAGAGGTGGAACTGATATCAAAAGCCTTCATTCAGAATAATTGCATAAATGATCACACATCCAAAACTTATTCAAACTTAACGACTAACTATACATATCATCACAGATCAACTACACCCCCCCCCCCACACACACACACACACAGGCCACAGATCCTACCCAACCTCTTTCCCCTTTACGAGTACCTACACTAGTGATGTCAATTACAGAAAATCGGAATACCGATGCCAAACCAAATATCAACCAAAACCGTGAGGAAATACCGAAACCGAACCTGCTTGGGAACATGAGGGAAATACCAACTTTTTACCAATTTATTAGCTTCTTATATATTAGTGAGGGTTCGTGATACCAACAAAATACCGAACACATTAGCATTAAAATACCAAATACCAAGTTGGTATCGGTTTGGTATCGGTATACCAAAAAGTTGGTATCCGATTGACATCTCTAACCTACACACACAGGCCACAGATTCTACCCAACCTCTTTCCCCTTTACGAGTATAAACCCCCTGCCTCTCCATCCGACAGGGCCCAATCGGTCGGCGCGGTCGAAAAGGCGATCCGGGGGAGAAGGGAGACCAGGGTGTACCCGGTCTGGACGCCCCTTGTCCGGTGGGAAGTGACGGTCTACCACTGCCGGGCTGCGGGTGGCGGCCGCCGCCGCACCAGGTGAGAGAGAGAGGGAGAGAGAGAGAGAGAGAGGGAGAGAGAGGGAGAGAGGGGGAGAAGGAGAGAGGGAGACAGAGAGACAGAGAGAGAGACAGAGACAGAGACAGAGACAGAGACAGAGACACAGATAGAGAGAGAGAGAGAGAGAGAGAGAGAGAGAGAGAGAGAGAGAGGGGGAGAGAGAGAGAGAAAAAAGATCAAGTTGGTATGCCAACAATCTTTTCTTTGGAAGGATCTTCACTGTGTTCGTACTGGTCTGGACAATAGTCTGTTGCAACAAAGACACTTATCTGATTTTGACGGGTTGAAAGAAAGATATCTTTCCCTTTAGGACATATCTGTTTTCCGTTTCAGAATGATGCATCGATCGTGCTTTGAGCTGGCGTGGAGCTGCCAGATTGTTGCCAAACGAACACGGGACGCGGCCCATAGCCGTGTTGAACGCCGCGCCGTCTTCTGGTTTATAGAGGGCGCCACAGCCAAAGCGGACATCAATTGTGTTTACGTGTTTGTGAGTCATGTAGGGCGTTGTTTGTCTCCGTTTGAGACATTGACTCAATTGAGGCATAGTGACTACGATGAGTTCACGAGGGACTCAATGAATCGGCTCTACAAAATGGTGGCAGATGATTGGCGTGAGACTGTAAATGTGTCTATTGAGGACGCTGCGAGCGTCTGATATAGGTGTCGCCACAATCGTCAGATGTAGATGACGCTACCGTCGCACGGCGTTACAGTCGAGTCCGTTTCACCGCCGAGGTTTACTGTGCCAACACTCGTTTTTGCCAACTGTACGTACGGCCCGAACCGCACACTGTATAGTGCGGAGTTGTGCCAAGGTACACCTGTACTCAGCTAGCTCGGTCCAGTCACGGGCGCCGCTAGTATGACGTCATAGGAAGTGTTAATGTGACGTCATGGAAGGCAGGTATGTTTATAGGGTAAACTGAACAAGGGCAGAACCCATGGACTGAGTTATGTTTGCTGATCTGCCGGCCTCTGTGTAAGCTAGTTGAAGCACATGAAATATGTTCAGAGTGTACGTGAGAGGTTGTAAACTTGTGAGCATGCGTATTTGTATAGCATCAATACGTATGCTGTAATGTGTCCATCTCAGTGGATGCCAGTGCGCATGCGCGAAACGACGTACATGTTGAAGCAGGTCAAGTGTTTGGACGTTTGTTTTAGCTGAAGCACGTGCGTACTTGATGAGTGCTATTACCGTGTTGATCTGTTTCGTCGATATCTAGAACGAACATATTGTCAGGCATAAGGCTATTTATACAATGCCATTTTTTATTTGGCAAGATAGATGAATAACTGACGGAAACATGTTGTCCTCTCTCGTGAAGATAATTTTGGGTTACGTTGAGCAGTTTTAGTACTCGGTCAATATTTTAGATTTTTGTCAGTGATAGCTAAAATTTACTGACAATAAATATTGATTTTCCTTTATGAATGACGGTTGTTTTTGTTTGGACGAATTAGACAGGCTCGGCAGCGTCCTGTGCCAGAGTGGTTTTGTATTCATTTTTACCGCTATGAATATCACATGGACATATACCTATGCAATGGCACATCCAGAAAGGCGGTCTTGAACCCTGAGGGGGGAGGCATTCCTCAAAATATTTCTCCAAGTTCCAAAAGCTCTTCGGATTTCGGTTCCTTACGCACAGCTGATCAGTTTAACCCGCGCCCGGCTGGGGGTCCTAGGTTTCCACGCCCTGCTGCAGGGGGGGGGGGGTGTCTGAACATCCCCTTCTAACTCGGCTCCTGGGCCACGTAGCGATACGCGGAAGGCGGCGTTCGAAAGAGCGCCAAAAATAATGACGAAATCACTTCGGTCAATTTTTTGGTCAGGTCAAAGGTCAGGTCACCAGAGGTCATTGAAGGCAAAATTTCGCCGATTTCCAGGTCGAATGTCGACGATTTCCAAGAAGCCAACGCATAACTCGGGAACCAATAGAGCTACAGCGCCGCGGAAAAGCGCATTCGATAGCCCTATTAACGCCCTTTCTGGAAATTCTCTCAGATTTGACCTAACGTCAACGGTTTTGCCTGCAGGGGGCAAAAACTGCAAAAATAGCCGATTTTTTCGGAAACAGTTTTTCTGCAATAACTTTTGACCCAAGCCTTGTACGAGCTTACTTTTACCGGCATTGCGTTCCTCTCGTCAAGACGCATCGAATGAACTATAACTTGACCTTGAAAGGTCAACTTGAAAATTTGACCTCAGGTCAAGGTCATGACCTGACCGGAAAGGGTCATGTTGCATATCAGTCGATCCGTATCGTCGAGCTGAACACATCTAAGGCGTTTTCACCGCTCTAGCATGCCTCTATCAAAAGTTATTTGCGAAAAACTGTTACATACCATTCGTGACCTAAGATGACCTCAGGGCATAAACAGGGGTCACGGACACCATTTTCATGTTCAGTGTGTCTAAACCACTTGTAATTCAATGTTTGGGAGTGTTTATAATGTCTTTCGTCCAAAAGAGGCGCATTTCAATTTTATCCCATTGACTTATAATGGGGAGGTCGCAAAATTGACCTAACCTTAGGTCATCGGTATCAAAATTCTGAGATATACATTTTGTACATGCTGTTGCTCTTAGCAATCGCTGAAAGTTTCAAAGCGATCGGTCACTCGGTGTAGCTATTACAGACATTGAAACTTTTTATGGCGTGAGGTCACTTCAAGTGACCTGGTGACCTGACCTGGAATGACCTTGGTGTGAAGTTTTCACAACATGTGTAGAATTGATGTATGATAAGGTGTACCAAGGGTTTTCAAACACCCCCCAGCAGGGCGCGGGTTAAGCGGGCGGCCATCGTTGGATAAACAGACTTCGGTCAAGTTATGAATATCCGGTCTGGGTGTGTCAGCACCGCGCTGTTACTATAGTCTCTCTTCCGGTTTCCACCGGCGGTTTATTAATCAATACAGAAAAAAATAGGCAAATAAGGTATGTAGTTTGAGTCAACGAACATAGTCTGGCAAACCTAAGAAAGAATGGATTTAAGATGCTTCGGCCATTGATGCATGTGCATTTATATATTGTGAGAACATATTTTATCTCACAACTTTTCACATAAATTTCTCCAAACCACATATTTCAAGTGCTCAAAAACACGTGCAAAGTGATTCAGGCGCTGTAACTCTGTTCTTTCTTAGGTTTGCCAGACTATAGTACAGTGTGGTGGTAGTAGTGTGCTAAAGTTCTTTTTTTCCCCTCACTGTAAACGTCTCTTTGAACACAGCACGAGAATTGCTAGCTGAATTACTGAGAAAACTGGTTGGCGCACATTGTATTGTAGATATGAATAATATTTCCAAAATAAGTTTTGAACACCGACGAGTTAACGTCCTATGTTAAACGCCGTGCAATTATTACCTAATTAGTTCAGAAATAATTTATGAGAAGTCGTCTATGCCTGTGGGGCTGTTGGTTTTGGCAAATACGAGCTGTGAGGCTTTGAAATAGTTAATAAATTTGATGAAATCGATCGTCTGTGAAATCTGGTCAAATCAATGTGCGCCAACCAGTTTTCTCAGTAATTCAGCTAGCAATTCTCGTGCTGTGCTGAAAAAAGACGTTTACAGTGAGGGGCAAACTTAAAATAAACGAACTACAGTAATGTGGCTACTGGCTAGTAGTGTGCTGGTTTGTGATGTGGTAACCGACAGGCCGGCTGACCGGCGCCGCCAAGACAAGACCCCGCCGGACCGACCCATGGCAGGTGTGGGTGGCGTCTAGCATTGTCCCTCCCGGGTCCGGGGAGGGTAAACCCCCGGGTACATAACTGGTGAATCCCCCTTGACCCTCCCGCCGCGCGGGTCCGGGGAGGGTAAATCCCGGGTACATAACTGGTGATTCCCCCTTGACCGTCGCCAGCCGGTGGGGCGCGGATTTCGGCTGGGCTCCCCAGTCCCGGGCCTCGGTATTACCGGCAGTACCTATTTGCCAGCTGACGCCGTATGGGGGCGCTAGTAAAGCCGATATACTTAGATGTAAAGACCATGAATATATAAGTTTATATCTTCTGTATCTGTTAATATATATATATATATATATATATATATATATATATATATATATGCATTTGAGATTAAAATTAACAGCAGTTTGAGCGTTGTTGACTTTCTTATGAAGGTTCTCGATTCGTCGGATTAGCTGTCTTGTTTCACTATTATGTTCAAAAAGGATGTTGGAGAATGATTCTCTATTATATACGACGTTTCGTTCGGACATCGAACATCATCAGGTGATAAATTCAGGCGAACATATACACAAGAATGGGATAAATAATACTATAAATGATTCGCATAATCGTAAATGATGCACATTAGTCGCTATCGGCACGGTGAAATCATCTTACACTCCACTAGTTAAATGCAATGTTGCACGCTGCGTTCAACAGGAGCACTTCTACTGTCGGATACATACATGGGGTCCTAACTCTTAGCTACTACAGACCTACGTGGCTAGAGTCTAGGGAATCTAGATCCGGGCTCTGAGAGGCGCCGAATCAAACACCATCAGCGAACCACGCAAGTTCATTTGCCTGTTGATCCAGGGATCACTGTCACGAATATACACGGCCTCCAGAGCCTGCAGCTTCTTCCTGTTCGAGCATCGTGCTAAGACAGATGTGTTTTGCACCATCATATCTCGCGCGAGCTCCAGGCTGTGCTCCTGCTGCATGTGTCGCAAAGGTGCACCGTCCTGGAGATGCATTGTGATCCTACGGCTCATCGTTGTTACGGTGTGTCCAATGTAGGCACGATTGGAATAGTGTACACAGTCACCAACAGGGCATTTGAACTTGTACACTACATTGGTCGACCGTAACAACGATGAAACGTGACTCAAGTTGTTTTTCATGACAAGGCTAGATACAGTGGGGCTCTTATAGTAAATGATCATTTTCAGGTTATCATTCGGGTTGATGGGGATGTGGCACGGCTGAGAATAGCCGGTCGCCACTTGAACCGCCAGCAGTGTATACCGCTAGTAGTTCACCTCTCGTTGTGAGAGGGAGTGAAAGGATTGTCAAGTCAGAGACTACCATCCGCCACCGTCGGCACCACACAACTCCAAGGGAGGAGGAGACTCCCGATGTGGGCCCGTGTCGGTAGCTCTGAGCTTGACTAGGATGAACGAGTTACCGATCGTGGATCGTACTGATTTATTGAACAAAAATTGGCACACTATATTTCTAGCAAGGCTACCTTGCATAGGTAGTTTCAGCGTCCAAATGGTAATATTACAAATTACAGTGACAGTTGGACAAAGAAAAATTACTCCACACCTGCGCTCCTAGATTACCCTCTTAAGGCGTGACAATACAACAGCTACGGTTACAAGAGATAACATATAAGGCAGAAAACAATCACAAGACATATGTGTCAATCAATCACTGACATCTGCGTGCATCAAAAGGATTTACTAGTTTACGACGCCGCCGCTGGGTTGCACACGCTACGGCGCCGTCGCTAGCAACGGAGCGCTGTTGCACCCGCTACAGGCCCTCCATCACGGGCATGGTGTACACGTCACCGTACCGCGCCGCGTCCCCGGACCGGCAACTCGTCTGCCCACTGCGCTCGCTGCGCTACCGTGGTCCGGGGGTTAACACTGTACACTGAGAGCCCGAGACGACGCACTGCTCATCTCTGCACCGGCTGATCACACAACGCAACGCCAAGAGCGCTCGGCCCGTCTGTTGGACTGACGAGGCCCAGTCGACCTTCACCGCCGTCAAGGCGCGCCTGGCGGACACCACCCGACTGGCACACCCTCTGCCAGGTGCACCACTCAGCATCCAAGTGGATGCCTCGGATGTCGGCGTCGGCGCGGTCCTCCAACAGTTCGTGGACGGCTGCTGGACACCGCTGTCCTACTTCTCCAAGACACTCAAGCCTGCCGAAACGCGCTACAGCACTTTCGGGCGCGAGCTGCTGGCCTGCTACCTCGCCATCCGGCACTTCCGCCACAGTGTCGAGGGCCGGGAGTTCATCCTGTTCACGGACCATCGACCCCTGGTGTCGGCTGTGGGGTGCAGCTCCGATCGTCACGCTCCTCGCGAAACTCGTCACCTGGACTTCGTCAGCCAGTTTACTACTGATGTCCGTCACGTTCCCGGACGGAACAACGTAGTGGCGGACGCGCTCTCTCGGATCACGACCGTGCTCTCCGAACCTCGACCACCCCTGGACGACTTCGAGACTCTGGCGACGGCCCAGCAGACCGATCGGGAGCTCCAGGCGTTCGTCGCCACTCGTCACTCCCTCCGCCTGCGCTCCGTCGAGCTGCCCAGTGGTTCAACGCTGCTGGTGGACGAATCTACAGGACGCCCTCGGCCACTGCTGCCAGAGGACCTCCGGCGACCCTACTTCCGCCTTCTGCACAGCCTGTCACACCCGGGCGTCCGTGGCACCCAGCATCTCGTCGCC